ACAAAATGAATAAATAACACTGCATTAACCTTTCCATGTCAATCCAACAATAAAGGAGAATAAAGGCAAGTTTTTCTTGTATTTTCATCACGTCTAAATCTTTTCCATTCAGACACAGCTCCTTGTGAATTATGCTTGTAAAAGTAATTGAATTTCAACCTGCAATTTAATATCAAAGGGCCACCTTGGTGATAAATCCAGATAACCTGTGCTTGGACTTGTAGAATTCTATTGATTTTGGCTCAAAACCTTGACCAGCACAACATGAGTAGATTTGTAAAATATGAATTGCTAATTGGTTTCATGTCAGTACTGAGGTAACATGTTGTCTCTAGAATATTTCTGTGATTTTTTTTTTCATGGCTCTAAAAAAATGCTTTGCAAGGCTGGTTAGCCCAGTTGGTCAGAGCATGGTCCTAATAACACCAAGGTCATGGGTCCAATACCCATACTGGCCAGTCGCAAATGTGTTTGTTTGACAAGAAAGTTTCAAACTATACAAGATTAACACACAAGCTAGTTGCTGGCTATGAGAGCTTGTCAGGATTAAAGTGGTTCAAAAGCTTTTTCTTCAGGCAACTTTGTGTCTTTATTTGTGACTCAATAACATGAAGCAATTTACAAAACTTTTCAGCATATTCTATCCTAAAATTGGCAGTCTAACACAGAACGAAATGAATAAATAACACTGCATTAACCTTTCCATTTCAATCCAGCAATAAAGTGAAAAAAGGCAAGTTTTTCTTGTATTTTTATCACATCTATATCGTTTTAGTCAAATACAGCTCCTTGTGAATTAAGCTTGTAACGGTCATTGAATTTCAACCTGCAATTTAATATCAAAGGGCCACCTTGGTGGTAAATCCAGATAACCTGTGCTTGGAATTGTAGAATTCTATTGAATTTGGGTCAAAACCTTGACCAGCACAACATGAGTAGATTTGTAAAATATGAATCGGTAATTGGTTGCATGTCAGTACTGAGGTAACATGTTGTCTCTAGAAAAGTTCTGTGATTTTTTTTTTCATGGCTCTGGAAAGACGCTTTGCATGGCTGGTTAGCTCAGTTGGTCAGAGCATGGTCCTAATAACACCAAGGTCATGGGTCCAATACCCATACTGGCCAGTCGCAAATGTGTTTGTTTGACAAGAAAGTTTCAAACTATACAAGATTAACACACAATCTAGTTGCTGGCTATGAGAGCTTGTCACGGTTAAAGTGGTTCAAACATGTTTTCTTCAGGCAACTTTGCAATTTTATTTGTGACTCAATAACATGAAGCAATTTACAAAAGTTTTCAGCATATTCTTTCCTAAAGTTGGTAGTCTAGCGCAGAACAAAATGAATAAATAACACTGCATTAACCTTTCCATGTCAATCCAACAATAAAGGAGAATAAAGGCAAGTTTTTCTTGTATTTTCATCACGTCTAAATCTTTTCCATTCAGACACAGCTCCTTGTGCATTATGCTTGTAAAAGTAATTGAATTTCAACCTGCAATTTAATATCAAAGGGCCACCTTGGTGATAAATCCAGATAACCTGTGCTTGGAATTGTAGAATTCTATTGATTTTGGGTCAAAACCTTGACCAGCACAACATGAGTAGATTTGTAAAATATGAATTGCTAATTGGTTGCATGTCAGTACTGAGGTAACATGATTTTTTTTTCATGACTCTAGAGAAAAGTATTACAGCTACAACTCGAATTTCAAAATTGCATGTCGTTCTTTACTTGTTTCAGACAGTTATTGTGTATTTTTTCTCTGCTTTTGAGTCGATAGACATAAAATTAGAGATGATTACAGAAGCAAACGCTGACAGTGCTGCAGAATATATGACATTTATCAGAAAAAGATCAGATATCTTTTCAGCAAAGTTCTGTTATGAATTAGTGCGGTCTGCAGTTCTACTTCTCTTATTGGGTGGCTGGAGTTTAAATTAAGCGGATAAGAAGAGTGTGGGCAAGGTCCTGCTTAATTTGAGAAAACGGCGTTTTAGACGGCGTAAAAAGTGTCACAAAGCTGCGAAAAAAACGGCGTTTTCTCAGGACTTGAACGCCGTCGGGCCTAAAAAGCGGCGTTCAGTGACCAGAAAAACGCCGTTTTTTACGGCGTTCTGCGGGTGCTCTTAAAACGCCGCATTAAACGGCGTTTTGATGGGATTTTCGCCGTATTTTACGGCGTTCTGAACTATAAAACGGCGTTTTTTGCGTGACCTTTTAACCAGACGCGTGGTAAAAGTGGCGTTTTGTGGCGCTGTTGGCTTGCCCTATGTAAAAATAACGCCCGATCGCATAAATAATGTGTGGTGGCGTTTTCATCAAGAGGCTGTCCTATTATTGCTCTGCCACTAGATTTTAAGGTATTTTACCCAATCAGGTCACTGTAAGGGCAGACACAACTAGGGGATCCCTGATCTTTGACAGAAAGTACATGCGCCTGTCATTGAACACCCAGTTCAACAATGAAATCCAGTGGCGTGCACAGACATTTTGGGGGGCAGGTGCTCAAGCACCACCTCGTGTCTATCTGTGCACGTCCCTGATAAAAGCTGATATAACATAAAACTCACTCTATTTGTTCTCTTGGGGCAGAAAATAAGTGTCTTCTTTAACAGGCAATTAATTATTAATTTTATAAGATAATAGCATGTGACTACACATACAAAGCCTACAGAAAAACTGGTTCTACTAAGTACGACTGCCTAATGAGAATTTTTCTCCATGTAAAAAAAAGACCTAAAAAGATCAGTGAGCCTCAAAGCAGTATGGTTATTTTTATAGATCACAACTTATCCGTAATGAAAAACTACAGAACGCAAATTGTTGTACCCTCAGCAACTTGCTTTGCAAGTTTAAAGTCAGTCTGATTTTGGAGCTAAATTGTGAATAGTCACAGACCTTTCTTGCATTATAGTGATTAAGTTAAAGTTGCTAAAGTCACAACTGTCTCTGTCTAAACCCTTAACCTCTGCTACAATATCACAGTGCATATACAAGGTAATGGATACTGTTTTACATTTTGTAAAATAGATACAAAGGAGAATGAAAGTCTCATTTAAAAAATCAAAGATTATTTGGACAAATTGTAACATTAAAAACATAATCATTGTGGTAAAGGAAATAAATTGTTAGGACCCAGCCATGGGTTACAACATTAAAGGCCAGTAAGAACTGCTTCTCAGGTGGCTCAATACAACCTGATCCACCACCACATGCACGAGTCCACTCATTGGAAAGCTCTCATTTAGTTAATGAGAAAACTCTTCATCTTCCCCAGAGGTTAGGTCTTGATCTTCCACCATTTGACAAACTTAACCAGCTTGACTTTTCAGATGGACATGTTCCACCTTGGGAGCACGGTGTCCGTTTTAAGCAGCTTGAGTCCCTTGGTAAGGACATAGAGGTTTTTAATCCAGGTTTTTGATCCAGCAGTCAAATATCAGAATCAGAATCAGAATCAGCTTTATTGCCAAGTTCGTGCATACAAACAAGGAATTTGACTCCGGTACACTTTGCTCTTTTGTTCTGTTTTTGCATTACAGAATATACAAATTTACAATT